AAAAAATAAAAAATACCTTTATCTAGACTAACAACTTCAAATCAGAAGGGAAGATCACATTTACTCTTATAGACACATGCACATGTGAATACAAAGGTATGTATTCCATCACCACATATATAAAATCAATACTTTTAAAATTAAGAATTAATTGTTTAATAGTGACCATGAATGTGTGATTTCAGGAATGGGATCTGTTAGTCTGCACATCAATATGCCATACTGGTTTCACATAAAAACATAAGATGAGCTAATGTACATACACACACACACACACACACACACAAAGCACTAAATAAGAACATTTTAAGTAGCAGAATACCCATAAGAAAGGGCACAGAGGTAGAAATAAACACATGATTGAGAAGGGAAAACACAACGCCAAGGTTGATTGGCAAATAGTTTATGTTAAGAGGCAGAAGTGAAAAAGGCCTGTTCATGGAAGTCACAGAAACTCCAGACAATTAGTCATAAGATGTGTGATGTCATGGGTACCCATAGGGCAGAGTCAGTGCATCCTTGAACATGAGATTATATTTACATCCCACTTTACTTTGCATATATTAGATCTTCCAGTTTCCATAAAGTATAGGCATTACCGTTATTATCTGCACTTGAGGACAAAGGATTGTTTCAGTTTTGATGCATCTGAATTTTCTCAGGGGAATTGGTAAACCTGAGGTGTAAATATACACTATTCTTTAATATTAAGATCCTATGCACACATTCACTATGGAAAACATAGCTCTCATATAGCACTTTGATCTACAGTAACATCAAGCACATTGTATTAACCACATCCCTCTACGCAATCACTGAAAACTAATATTGTGGGGCTGGAGAGATACTTCAGTTGTTAAGAGCACTGGCTGTTCTTTCAGAGGATCCAAGTTTGGTTCCCAAAACCCATGTCCAGTGGCTCACAATTGATGCTTTCTTCTGACCTCTGCAGGCACTGCACTCACATGATATACATATATACACATATTTACATGAATAAATAAATAATAAATAAAATTAATGTTGACTATCTACTGGCCAATAACTAGTATATAGTTTTGTACCAAACACGTTTTTAACAAAAACTTGAATTTTATTTCACAGTTGTGAAGAAATGACTTCCTCTCTGTAATGGCATCACTTTACCTATATTCAAATTTTCCTCCAAGTTCTCAGAGAAAAAAAAGGTAACTGACATTTTTGACACTTTAAGAAATTATTATCAGGGCTGCAGAAATGGCTCAGCAGTTAAGAACACTGGCTGTTCTTGCAGAAGACCAGTGTTCGAATCCCAGCACTCACATGACAGCTAACAACTGTCTGTAACTCCAGTTCCAAAGGATTGGAGGTCCTCTTCTGACCTCTGTGGGCACTTGCACGCATGCAGGCAATACACGCATACACACAAAATAAAAACAAATAATTTTTTTTAATTTAAAAAAAAGAAAATAAATTATTTAAAGAAAGCTATATTCAAGAAGATTCCAAGGTAGATGAATTCCATTAAAGTTAGTAGAAATGCTTTCTTGATAAAGTTATTTTGAGAAACAGACTCTACTAAGAGTTCTACTATCATTGGAAGAAATACTGTTAAGAAAGTTTCCCAACAGAGGAACAAGCACTCCTGGTAAGTTGCATTTCAGAGAATTTCTGGTATCAGTTATGTCTCATTTATTTATGTGTCGCTGACTCCTAGAAGAAGGCTCTAGTCTGTAGGTAATTAGAACATTATTGAGTGGGTCATCAGTTTTTGTTTTTCAGATAGGGTCTCACTTTGTAGCACCAGTAGGCCTTGAACTCACGGTCCTTTTGCCCAGCCTCTGGAATTCCATCACCATCCTTGACTTTGCATATCATATTTTAGCTTTCCTCTTTAGCAAATATCATATTTTAGCTTTCCTCTTTAGCTAATTAAAAGTTTGAGTGCATGTTGGCTGAGAATGTGCTGTTTTATTACATTGTAAGAATTATTAATTTTAATACTGTCTACACAGAAAAGATAAATTCAAATAGATATTCACTTTGCGTACTTTATGTTCTCCTATTTTAATGACCACAAATGTATGTTTGTGGATAGATGATTGTTATATAAATAATGAAAAAAGTTATATCTAGTTATTTGGAAGTATATAACATAAATTATTATAAAGTATTAAAGCTTGCACTCTATTATCATGGATAGTTTATCTTACATTCCAGAACCTTGATTTGTACAAACAGAAGAACCTGAATTCTATATCCAGAATCTACATAATTTTTTAAAAGCCCGGCATGATGGCACAGGCTTGTAATCTCAGATCTGGGGAGGTAGAGACAGATGGCTCACTGGGGCTCACTACCTAGCCTAGCCATGAATGAATGAATTCCAGGCCATTAAGAGACTCTGTCTCAAAAAAACAAAGTGGGTGACATGACAAGCAACATAGGAATTATCTCCAGTCTCCACATGCATGTGCACATATGAATATACATGTACACACAGACACACACAGACACACAGACACACAGACACACACACACACACACACACACACACACATGCACATACAACCTAAGAAAATAACAGACAACAGAAAGCTCTACCTGTTGTTCTGGCTCTTTGGCTTCTCTTTTATGCAGTGGATGAAGTCTTATGGGATAGACCACTTCATATTTCTTTGCCTTAGGGAATTCTTTTATTGCACTTGCTAAGACAAAAAGGAAGAGAAGACTTAGCTGTGGAATGACTGGTCAGTACTCAGTCCCAGTGGGTGATGCTACACAGTGGCCTCCAGTGATTCATGTCAGTCGTTCCTGTACTGATCCAGGGAGAGACAGGCACCATTAGAAACCCATTCTTTCTCTCGACTCTCTAATTCCCATCTTTAAATATTTCTCAGTGTGATGTTTCCAAGTATTTCTCTGTTTGGTAACAGTATTCGTTTTCAATTTCCCCTTTTCCCTTTGCTCTCTTGGATCTGGGCAGTAAAATGCAGAAAAGATGAAATGTAAACAGAAAGCAGAAGGCTGATCAGTCCCACGATAATTCAGCAGAAACATGCTGAAGACCATACTGTTAAAAGTGATATAATCGTGTGCATTGCTTCTGATTTGAATACGTACTTTCTTGCATTTATCAATAGCAATAGCCAAAACTCAGTCACAAGAAGGGTTGTGATGCCAGGATCACAGAACTCTGGCATGAGTTTTGCATTTTTTGCATAGAAAAACATGAAAACGTGCGAAGCAGAAATTGGACAAAATCACTGACCTACAGGGTTGCTTTGAGTCTGCAGTCACACCGAGGGGATCTGGGAAGTTATCTGAAACAACCAGTTTGCACATTCAATGCTCTCTTCCATGCTGTACCCAGAAGTTAGCCTAAAGAGAAACCGGGGGCTTTCCAATAGCTGATACTGGATTTTTATTTTCCTTTTCATTGTCTGCATGATCGGGATGTGGTTCCGTGTACAGCAGCTCCTGAGATGTGACAGACCCACCACAACTGCTGCAGGTGGCCACAGGTCCACCCTGGATGAAGACCTAGTGGGACTCAGAGAGCAGAGGCAGGACAGCCCCCCAATCTTTCTAAGTCTGGAACTGCAGAAGCTTCATCTTCTTTATGTGTTGATTTGTGCCTCTCTGAAGATAATCCTAGCTCATTGAAATACTCAGACCTAGTTCCCGCGGTAATACCAAATTTATCCTACTCTGGTCTGTCTTTCAGCAGATATGACTGAGGTGCTCACCTAGTGTGTGAGGTGCTCACCGACTATGTGAGGTGTTCACTGAGTGTGTGAGGTGCTCACTGAGTGTGTGAGGCGCTCACCAAATGTGTTTGCCCATCAATCACCTGGAAGGACTGCTTTGACAGCTTAGTCCAGTGACTTCCCAGAGAACAAAATATCTATTTTTTTTTTTCAAGAACTAAAGAAGGAACTCAAAAATTCTAGTGATGTCAAATTTTTGTCACTTTGGAATGACTTTAATTTATTTCATCACTCAAGAGATACTTAACTTGGAAGCTTAGAAAAAGTCATTAACTTAACTAAGAACTTGGGTCAAACGTGACACATTACAATACTGAGAAAACTTCTTTTCATGGGCTTGGTATAGAAAACATTTCAAAAGGAGTTCAAGTCACAGAACTGACACTACGATGCTTTAATTTTGTTTTTTAAAATTGTGTGTAAAGAGGGGGCAGATTAAAATGTCTCAACACTTGTTCAAGAAGTCTATAAATTTTTGTAAATCAACACAGAACTCACTATAATGTCTTCAAAGTACCATGATTATTGGGGTACATTCTGATAAGAAAATGAGACTTGCCAGAAATTAACTGAAGGCACTGACACAATCCCCTGCTGCTTCCTCTAATTTACTGACACAAAACAATACACCATACAGCACCAACATGTCACCCAATGCATTATGGGGCCTGCGCAGTACAATTAGTCCCATGGGTATTGATTCATCAAGCTGCTCTCACTGATGTTGTGGTCTCAGAAATTCTTTTTAAAAATACCGTATTTGCGGGGGGAGATGGCTCAGTGGTTAAGAGTGCATACTGCTCTTGAAGACCTGAGTTCAGCTTCCAGCACTCATGTTGAGTAGCTCACAAACACCTGTAACTCCAGCTTCAGGAAATCTGATGCCGTCATTGGGCCTCTACAGGCTCCTGTACTCAAGTGCACAGACACACAAACACACACAAATTTGAAACAAAAAGAAATCTTTTTAAAAAGATACCATACCAGTAGCTTTCATCCATAGCACATACTGTTCTAACAAGAAATCGGTTCTAATTTCCTGTGCATCACAAAACAATAGCCACTACCCACTTGAACCTTCCTATAAAAACGGAAGGTGATGATGTATACAGTTCTCTTTCAGGAGGGAGGAGAGTGGAGAGGGAACTAGATCAATTATCCAACACCAGGTTTCTCTGCTGTTCATGTTGATTCTTTCTCTTACAGTGAGTATGAAATCTAATATTTCATGAAACTAGAAGTTATCAACTGTTTTATAATTATGGAATAAAAATATATAAACTGCTTATAAAATTTATTGCCAATGCATTGTTTGGTAGTGAGCACTTCCAAACAGAAACTAAATCAGACAAAGCCAAACAAAAATCTTTATTTCTTTATAAAGACTGTAATAACTATTAACTTTACTCAGTACAAAATAAATTTCCAGTTGATTCCAAACTCTTGCAACACAGTAAATTCTCTAAACAGGATTTCTCTGAAATGACAGATTTTCCTGAAATCTGGCAGGCCCCTGAAAAAAATGAGCTCTGAAATATAAAGGTTTACACGGCACACAAGTATGGCACAGACACAGATATTGTTTGGCTTACTGATCCTCTGATTTGATGGAGATAGTGCAACCTCCTCCCAGGTGAATAAGATCATATTAATTATTTAGAAGCCAGTAGAACAAACAGAGCTAACTGCCATCTAGGGATTACACGAATCCAAGATGTAACACAATATGTTTCTACTAATTTATTTTAATACTTGCTTTCTCGCTCCCACAGAACTCATGTGTTGGATAAGCTCTGACTGGTAAAACTGGACCAAAGTAAAGAAATTGTTGCTTTGATTTGAGATAGAGATGTGGATGTGGATGTGATTTTTTAAACTTTTCATTAGTTTTGGGTAAATCAAAGCTCATTAACAAGGCTGATGTAGCCAACGTCAGTCTGGAATGCTCTCCTGTATGTTAATGTGTCTGGGTCCATTTTGGAAGTTTGAACATCTATATACATATTGAATTGGTTTTAAGCCTTGTCTTTCCAAATGTACCAGCAAGTCCCAAATTAAAGTTTATGCAATGACATTGATTTATATGCTGAATTCTCTGTTTTTGCTTGAACTCACTTGTTCTTTTAAGGTTTATTCAGTAAAAATGAGCACAAGCTCTGTAGGTGGGGAACCACAGAATCATTTTTGCTATTGAGATTCAATTGCATATAATGGCTTGCTTTTTCCAGTCATTTCTAAATGCCAGGAAGAACTGCAACTTTTAAATAAAATTGGTTTTAAAGTCACTACATCCTGAAGCAGAATGATCTATTCTTTTAGTGCACACACTTATTTCCTCCCCTACGTACACCTGTCATGTCCTTTCAAATATGTGTTTTCACTTTTCTTATAATGAAATCCTCTGTCCCTTTTCTCTGGGGTATCATGACACACATAACAAGCATCTAATCTTATTTTGCATATTATTCTTTTATTTCAAGAAGTGGGAACTGGGTAGAAGTTATGGCTAGAGGGGCACATGTGGTACTGATGGTAAAGACAAGGAAACACAGAGGAATGACACAGAAAATAAAATTTCTTCACTTGCATTCCGGTTGGAAAACCGACCTTGAAAAGTGGGAATTACTCCAGTAACCAGGGAGATAAACCCCTGAAAATACAACCTGGATGGTAAAGAAAAGGGAGACGATAACTTCCTGTTCATGACAAACGTCCCCTGTCAGCAGAGCAGTTTCAGAGTCTCTGTCCCCTTCACCATGTTCTTGGAATGATGTCACACTCTAACACATGACTCTTAAGGTGCTGAATCGCTTGGTGCTAGGTTGTGGATGCAGAGCTGGGAAAACAGACACGGGCTGGTACCAAAGTTTACTGAGAAGACTGAAGCATGCATGGGTCCCGGTGTCAACCATGAGACACTGTTCCTGGATCCAGTCTGACCTTTCTCTTCTAAAACAAAGCTAGAACCCAAGAAGTTCTAATGCCTCAATGAGAGGGCTGTCTCCAAAAGTTTTATAAAATGTAGGGAAAGAGAATTCTTATGAATTCTGAATCATCAAAACTAGGAGTTTGAAGTGAAGGACTTAAGGCTCTATATTTTGCAAGTTTGAAAAACAATTCAGAAATTATTTCTAATGATAAAGTACAAAGGGGAACAGAAAAGATGACACTTTTCCTTCTTGGACTCTCAACTTCTGTTAATAATTTGCTCATTCCCAGGTCTCAGCAAGGATTCCAAGACCCAAACCATATTTAACAACTCATGCATAGACTCGAGCTCCAGAAACAAAAATAAGCTGAAGAATTACGTTGGACCCCATCCATGCAAATTCTAGTTGAGAATTTTGAAACGGAGAGACCTACTTGGTATAACATATTATTAGGAAGTACTATTCCTCTACTTCTAAATTTCCATGTTTGATGCAATGAGCAAAATGAAAGTGGATTTTCGATCTACACTGAGCTGAGACACTTCTTCACCAAGTCACAGTGTTTTATAAGTGTAATGTTGGTCGCTGCTTGTTACCAATTAGATGTATCTACTATCACCAAGAATAAAAGAACTAACATTAGGACGTGCAGTCCAGAACAGAATACGTTGCTGAACTGGCCCTAATTATAATAGATATTTTCCCAAGGCTTTGCACATCAGAAAAATCTGCTGTGTTTATAGAAATAAGTATAGAATGAGTTTTGATACATTCTGCTTTTTGACTGAAAGATCATATTCATTGTTTAAATTATAATGTATCAAAGTTTCTCTTTCACTTTTAAGGATGTCAAATCTGGCATACAGATCTTGGGCTAATAAAACTCTCACTGTTCTGTTTAATGCCGAATCTTTACATCAGTTATAGCCCCCAAAACAACAGATAAAATCAGCCAAAATGATCAGTAAAATAGGTTAAGGAAAGGGAAAATAGCTAGTCAAAATATTATATGAAATAAAACTATTAGGAGTCAATGAACAGCATGCAGTCCTCTGATGTACTGAATAGACCCAAGGAAGAGTTAAGGCCTACCTGGAACTGGAGAAAGGAGGAAGAAGACTACCAGGAGACTCCCTTGCAACATGCTGCGATTCCAGGAGCACCTGCCTCCGCTCACACCTGGCTGCCTCTGCTCCTGCCTCCTCTTAATCAAGACCTAATGGAACTCCCTGCTTCATTGTGTACGCTTCAGCAAGTGTTTACTGAAGGTGTTGCACAACTTGTGAGCTGTGGTCCTGCCACAAGGCAGTAGGCGGAAGTCCTGGCCGCCTCTCGGCTGGCTCTGAAATTTCCTGTATCATGAGCTATTGCTTCCCTCTCTTTCTTCTCTCTGTTCTCCATTCAAAAGTTGTGTTTCCAATGTATTGCTGTAGCTCAGTAAGTCACAAAGAGGCAGCTGCTTTGAGGTGTCCTGATACATGTGCCATGTTGCATATCATATATATGATATATTTATGTGTTATACACATACTGTATAACATATGAATACATATTATGTATACTTTTTGTATATAATATGTTTAATTATATACATATACATATATATTTTCAGCTATATAAATATAGTTATTGACAATTTTATTCTTTCTACACACATATTTTGTATTCTAAAATAGTTTCTAATTCAGTCTAATTTTTATGGAAAATTCTTATTTCCAATTATCTTACATTGTAACCTCACACAATAGTGTTCATAAGGTACTTGGACTATCCTGAAATTTAAGATTTGTTTTTTTAAGACAGGATCTCATGTATCCTAGGCTGGCCTCCAACTCACTGTGTAGTGGAAGATAAACTTGAACTCTTAATTCGCCTGACTCCATTTCCCAAATGCTGGGACTGCAGGTGTGCAGCACCACACCCAGTTTCTGTGCAGTGCTGGAGACTGAACCCAGGGTTTCATGCATGCTAGGCTAAGCAACTAAGCTACGCCCATTGGCATGAAATAAGAATTTTCAACAGCACAAGTGTAAGGATTTACAGATTACCAAAGTGTTTGTGCCCTGAAAACCTGGTGAGATGGGGGTGCAGAAGACTTAATGATCAAGAGAGTACTGTCTCTGGGCCTGTGACTTCTGTTCTGAGGCTAAATTGATCATGTATAACTATAATTAATAAAACAACTAATATTAATTGAGCTGCTTATTAAAATCCAGCTACTCCCTGGATCTGTTATACTTGTTATATTAATCCCAATGACACATTTGTCTTATAAATACTGTTTTACCTCTATTTTGTACGTGAAAAAGTGGAGTTTAAAAGCATGAAAGGTTTTAAAAGGTTAAGATTCCGTTGTCTTCCTTGTGTATATTAAGAGGATTAAGTTGCTTGCTTGAGTTACTCACGCAGAAAGTGGAAGAGTTGGAATTTGAACGAGCTGTTGTCTGTGTTCTTAGTCACACACCTTAATGCTTAGCTGATTGATATACACAGTCTTATTTCTAGGGATAAGATTCTTATGAAATAGAAATAATCCTGAGAATAAACTGCTACCACCAACTTTATAGGTAATATGCATGAATTATGCTTCATTTTATGGATTACAAAGCACATTATTGTCCTAAAGATTTCAGTATAAAGGAAGTGCCTTACATGTTCAGAAAATCATCACACAGGAATCACAAGTTTTTTTGAAAAAACAGCAACAACAAAAACCCCACTAATCACTGAGCCTTTAAAAATGGAGATTGAGAATCTTGTCTCTTAAGCCCAGGTTTAAAGATATGGGAATATAAACATAGGCCTGTCTTTGAGAGTGATGGAGCCTTTCTGCACTTTGTTACGCTTCTCTTAAGAGGCTAGGGTTCCAGTTACTCAAAGACCACCAAATCCACCTCAAACCAGAAGTTTTTGGGTTCTTGTTTTGCAAATTCAAAGAATGAAATTCATGGACCAAAGAGGGTGAGTTTTAGAAAGGTGTGTTTTATTGTTGGGAGCTTGGGGTAGAGATGGCAGACCCCTGTATGGCAGGAGGGGTCTTCAGGAGTGAGAGTCCATGGAGTCTTATTTCTTGGGCGTTAATAGGGTGTAGCGGAGGGAGGAGGGGAGGGGGAGGTGAGCTGGTCAATCCAGTTGTCATTCCAGCTGTCCAGGACCCTCGATGTTCTCATCACATCCTCAGGCTGCCTCCCAGGAACAGGGAAAAGAGATAAGAAAAAATACCAGACCCACTTACTGATCTCCTCAGCATCTCACTACTGCAGAACCAAAGACATCATTCAGTCAGACACTTCTGAAATCTCTGGCCTCAAATAGGGAAAAGCGTACTGGCAGATCAAAGGAAATTCCCAGCTTTAGCTGGGAAGGAAACTGGTCACTTTTCTTTGGGGTCTTTTTACCCTAAACTGCCTACTCAGCTTCTGCCTCCTGTTCTTACCAGCTCTACAGCTTTGTCTTTTTCAGGGGATAGAAAAGATAGTTTAACTTTTTAATTATTATCTTTATTTTCATTCCACATTCATTAATACCTATTATGGGTCACACATTGAAATCATCATAGAAAAACTCCATCATTATTTCGAGATGCTTCCAGTTTAGTGAGAGAGACAGGGAAGACTATGACCATGACCGTGGAATTACAGAAAGTGAGTGTTACCATGTATGCGATTACCATTATAATACCTCCTATTTAGTGCTATGATAGAGTTATGCATAGGTTCAAGGAAAACATCCTGGAAGCAGGAACAATGGTCCGTGAAGAATTAACTGTGAGGAAAGGTGAAGAATGCATCTTATAGCATATCATTTTATCATTGGCTTTATTTTGGTATTGGTGGAGCAAAACATACCTGGAGGAATGGAGAAAACCCTCCTAAGTATAAAATGGCTCATGTTGTCACTGCAGGGAATGAAAACCATGGTTAGATTAACTTGCCCACAAGCTTTTTATGTTGGAAGAACGCTGAAGCCAGGTGACAACAGCTTGCATGGTGATGTGGGGTTGCTTAAATTGTCAATTGCTCTTCAATTCTCTTTAGAGAATAGTAACCCCACGCTTTGACCAGACTTGCTTCTAGCTAGCATTCTCACAGTTTTGAGTCAACCTTCGTAGCCTAGAGTTCTATTTATAAAATCCTTTAGTAGCAAAGAATTTCCACCACTATCCAAATGAATTTTATTTTCTGTTCCCTTGGTTATTTTTAGATGACACACCAAGCAAGCATAATAAACAACAGATGGATTTTATTGGTATTATTATTATTAATCATTGTTATTATTTTATGTGTAGAGTGTATTGTCTGCATGTACGTAAGTGCACCCATGTCATGCAATGTCCACAGAGGTCAGAAGAGGGCATCTGACTCCCCTGGAACTGGAGTTATAGACTGTTCTTTAGCCACAATGTGGGTGCTGGGAATCAAACCCAGGTAGATCCTCTGCAAGAGCAGCCAGTGCTCTTAACCACTGAGCCATCTCTCCAGGCCCCACCTTAATTTGACATCCTCCTTAATTTTGCCTTTTACTTTTTTGCAATAGACACATCAACATTACATCTGTGTTTTATCAACATTGTTAAATTCTGGGAGAACACAAAATAAATGGCAGAAAGAAGAGCATGCAAGAGAACAGACCTGTCATCATATAGTAATCTCAGAAAACTGTCATTGAATAAGGAAAAGCATGAGCTAGCATCCAGTATTTGAAAGCAAAACGATTAGTTTGGCAGCAGTAAGAATGGATGAAGTTAGAAAACAACAGAGGACAAGAACTTGCTAGAAGTCCAAATGTAAGAAGAGTCTGACCACGGGAGGAAGCAAGGGGCTTGGAAAACAGAATGAATTGTAGAAACACTTATGGAGCAAAAGTGGTAAGACTTAGCAACTAATTATACGTAGGAGAGCTGCAAGATTTGAAAGAGACGTTGTTTATTCACTAAATATGTATCTAGTGTCTACCATGAGCCCACTGCTGCGGTCAGCCTTGGGGAGTAAGCTTGAATATAGAAACAAACATTCTATAAGCTTTATAGCTTAAAATCTAGTTAGAATCCAAAAATGGGCAAAATGAATACTATGAGAAAAGTAGATGAGTGATCAGATCTGAAGGAGGTTTCCCGGTTCACTCCTAACGCTTACATTCCTGGGACTTGAGCTCAGTATGTAGCCTGCTGGCTGCTTTTGGCCTCCCAGTGGCAGCAGGCAAAATGGATGGAGGTCGGCTCCCTTTACCCTCTTGCTGGGAATAAAGGAGTTTATTCTTCTAGACAGTTTTGTTGTGGAAAAATCAGGAGAGTCAAGAGACCAGCAGCCAAAGTCAGGTGAGGAAAGGGAGTTTAATTTTACACTAGCCGGACTGGCACCTGGATCATTCTGTAATGGTGTCAGCCTCTTGTTCAAGTTCTGGGGACATTTATACTCATATGTGAGAATTGACAAGCAAAACGCAAATAACACATATATGGTAAGTAAGTGGTTTACAGGTGACATACAGTCACAAAGGTTACGGAAATGTGGCAGTTTGGGAAAACAAAGATTTCAATCCTGGGTAACTACAGGGGAGGGAGAGGCTACTATTTTACCTTTCCCATTCTTATCTTGGGACCTTTCAGGGTCCAGAGTTCCTAGCAAACATTCAAAGTTCTCAGCAACCATCCAAAGGCTTTCATTACCATCACATTGCAAGAGCTTTTAGCAACTCTGACGCTTTCGTGGTCCCTCTTCTACTCCCATGCCTTGTCAAGTGGGCTGTCTTGAACTTTTATTTTATACATAAGAAATGCCACTTCATTTGGTTTCAAAATCTTTGTGATCAACATCCAATCTCTGTTGTGACCCCAACAGTGTCTTATTTGTGAAATGCTTGAAGAATTTCTAAGCTGGGCATGGTGGCTCATACCTGTAATGCCAACATTCAGCAGGCAAAGGCAGTATGAAGTCAATTTGGGTTTCATGGTGAATTTTATGCCAGTCTGAGTTACAGAAGATGGGGGGAGACGGGGGAGAGGAAAAAGAGGAGGAAGGGGAAGGGAAGAGAATTTTTAATAATCTATCTTTATGAAAATATCTTCCATACAATTACTCCAGGAACCATGACTATCACATAGGGATGTGAGTTGGGGACTTGGTCACCAATGGCTTTCAACAA